CTGCCATAGGATCTTTCCACTTAGACCCATCTAACTCAGCAATCATATATGCGCCCCAGCCAAGCGCACCGACTATGTGGTAAGGTCCCATCCATCTGTTTGCCAACTTTCCTGACAATGTCCTCTCTAATGGTACATCGTAGAGAAGCACCATGTCGCCCACATTTATCTTCTCCTTTCTAATCTAACATCCTTATCCCATCTTTCCTTGCCTTTCTCTCTTTCCACCGCGAGTCGATCTGCTGCCGTCATAAGGTTATCCTCTAATTCGTAGGCTATCTGTCTCGTTCGAGCTGCCAGCAACTTCTCTCGCGTCATATTGTCCGCCCAGTTAACTGTAGTCCAACTATCAACATGAAACTCTATGGGTAGAGGGCAATGCCTTCCAAACCATAGTGTAAGGCGGATATCCTGTGCTAGCTCGGACTGTGACATTGTCTGGCCATATCGTGTATCGAAAATATTTCGGTCAGTCGCTATCTTTCGCTCTGCACCACTTGGACAATGAAGCTATCAAGGACTGGTGGCCTCGCTCTACTGGTGAATTGGATTGAGGGTGATAGGTAGTAGCTATCAATACTCTGGCTCCTGCTTTCTTGAACACATTCTGGACCTCATCCGCTAAGAACTATGCCCCTCTATCCATCACAATCCTACTAACACACCCGTACCTAGACAGATATTTTAGAACAAAAGTTTTTAATCTCTTTGGCCGCCTTTGTTCTGATGGGTTTCCCGTCGACAAATCCAGTGAAGTCATCTCTGATGTTCACGACATAATTCATGTTTCCTACCCCTTTCGACATCTTCACTAGATCAATATGCACTTTCTCGCCCGGTCCAGTAGGATAGGAAGGATGAAGCGGCTCCTTGTATCTTACAAGAGATCTCTTCTGACATTCCTCACAGGTCACACTGTACTTTTTAACGTCTTTGTACTGTCCTTCCCACGAGTATAGTCGACGGACCTTCTCATATGTCCCTTTTACTCCTCTATGTCCGCCGACCACGCCGTCGTGAAGTTCCGCTATTACCGCTTGCCTCTCCTCTGGATCATAAACCACTCGCAGAGGCATCCCTGATCCCGTGGGTCTCCGGAATAAATGTCCAGATCTAAGGCAGTACTGAGCCGCCTGTCTCATGATCTCTGAATCTGAACTCTCCTCTTCTGACAGATGCAATCCGCGGCTGTTTTTATCTTAAATAGGTAGGACCTGTCCAGATTCAGCCCTAACCGTACGGGGAGTTCCTCGTCTATGATAACAACTTCACTGCCATTGTCAATCACCCCTTGGAGAACTATCTCATCGTTGAGGACGGTCTCTACCATGCCACTCCCTAGAATATAGAACTTACCCGGTGGTACTCCCTCCATTCCGTCCAAATAGACTGTAGCCGCGCGTTCGGCCTTTGCGCTTACTCCTGATACTGCCACTGTGGGTACCTCTGGCTTGGGAGCCATTTAGACTTCGTCCCCCAGAGGAATGCGCGTCTTACGCGTAATCATCCGAAGTTCATCTCGTTCGCACTTCGTGAAAGGAGCTCACCTCGTTCGCACTTTGTGGCGGAGCACCTGCATCAAACGGTCTATAGTTTGAAAGATAGGAGCACGACAACAGTGTACTACAAAAGACCTCCCCCTGAAAGTTCAAAAGATAGGAGCACGACAACAGTGTACTAGAAAAGACCGACAACAATCAATCAATCAATCAATCAATCTCCCCGAACCTCCTATCCCCTCATCTTTCCCTCTTCCCCCTTGTTTCCCCGAGCCTCCCACCCCCCCCTTGTCTCCCTGAACCTCGTTCCTCCCACTGCGCGCCTTCCCCCTTCCCTCCCCGAACGTCCTCTCGGAAATCCCCGAACCTCGTGCCGAACCTCGTACCGAACCTCAGTCCTAACACCGTGCGTCTTCCCCCTCCCTCCCCGAACCTCCTCCCAGATCTCCCCGAACCTCGTACCCGCCAGTCCCCATCCCGGCCCTCTTCCGCTCGTCTCGCCCATCTTTCCCGACTCCCCGCCAATCTCCATCCCTCCCACCCCGAGCCTTCTTCCCCCCACTCCGTGCCTCCCCTCTCCGAACCTCCTCCCAGACCTCACCGAACCTCCTCCCAGAACTCCCCGAACCTCCTCCCAGACCTCCCCGAACCTCCTCCCAGACCTCCCCCCCGAAAGTTTGAAAGATAGGAGCACGACAACAGTGTACTACAAAAGACCAACAACAACAACAAATCAATCAATCAATCAATCAATCTCCTGAACCTCCCCGAACCTCGTTCTGAACCTCGTACAAACCCTACTCGCCGGTCTCCATCCCTCACTCCCCGAGCCTCCTTCCTCCCACTGCGTACCTCCCCTCTCCGCGCCTCCGCTCTCCCATCTGTCCCTCTTCCACCTATGTCCCCGAACCTCGTATCCCCTCCATCCCTCTCCCTACCCGTCTCCCCGAACGTCGATCCTGACACTGCGCGCCATCCCCCTCCCCCCGAAAGTTCGAAAGATAGGAGCACGACAACAGTGTACTATAAAAGACCAACAACAACAACAAATCAATCAATCAATCAATCAATCAATCAATCAATCAATCTCCAGGGCCTCCCCGAACCTCGTTCGGAACCTCGTATAGACCCTACCCGCCGGTCTCCATCCCTCACTCCCCGAGCCTCCTTCCTCCCACTGCGTCCTCCCCTCTCCGCGCCTCCACTCTCCCATCTGTCCGTCTTCCACCTATCTCCCCGAACCTCGTATCCCCCCCATCCCTCTCCCTACCCGTCTCCCCGAACCTCAATCCTGACATTGCGCGCCATCCCCCTCCCCTCTGAAAGTTCGAAAGATAGGAGCACGACAACAGTGTACTACAAAAGCCCAACAACAACAACAAATCAATCAATCAATCAATCAATCAATCAATCTCCCGGACCTCCCCGAACCTCGTTCTGACCATACCCGCCGGTCTCCATTCCTCGCTCCCCGAGCCTCCTTCCTCCCACTGCGTACCTCCCCTCTCCCTCCCCGAACCTCCTCCCGAAGCTCCCGGGGTGGAAGAAAGGACAAAGCCGGACAAAGAGAGAGAAAGAGAGAGAGAGAGAGAGAGAGAGAGAGAGAGAGAGAGAGAGAGAGAGAGAGAGAGAGAGAGAGAGAGAC